TTTTTTTTTTTATATGGGGCTGGAGCCCACCCTAGCACATGGGTGGCTCCGCCCCTGGGCGCGACTTAGCACTGTTCTCGCAGCCTTCTCATAGGCGTGTTATTCATGAAACATATAACAAGCATAAATATCACAGAGATTATAAAGGATATCGTAAAGCCATAGACTTCCCCACCTGAATACTCGGATAAGGCTGAAGAACGAGAGTAGATGCTTCAGTGGATATTTGAGGGCTCGACTCTTCGGAAATCTACATTTCTGAAGCAATACTCGGATAAATATCTAACTCTTAACTTGGTAAACTAATTTACCAAATTTGAAGTATATTATAGCTTAAAGTTCACGACTTAGAACATTTTTCTCAGACCTTGGAACTCTCAATTCGAATATTTATAAATCTCGGAAAATAATTTTTTTTAAAATAAAAATTTAAGACTCGACTCAAAAATTTATTTAAAGGCTCTGAAATACTTAAAGCGGCTTGACAACTCAAGAATTTTTTTTTTTTTTTTGGTTAAATGCTGACCTTAGAAAGTTGAAATCAAATAATTCTCGCACAATTCCTGAACATGCGGAAGACTTGCAAACCCAATTTCAGAGGCTAACATTTTTTGTAATAAAAGGCATTGAAAAGATTTGATTTCAAGGCTAAACTTTAAAGTAAACAAATCAAAGTTTCCACGAACATTTTTAAGGGTACTGATCACGGTAATAAGAATTTATTTTCCAAACAAATTTCTCAAACTCTTTTCGATATTAATTTAAGCTTCAAATTCCACAACTAAAAGACATGAAGGAAAAAAGCCTTTAAACTTAATTACTCAAAGCTTAAAGAAATAGGCAGCCTGACTCAACTCACGGCATTTTGAGATTAAAATAGGCTCGAAAGCGAACTTGGTCCGAATATAAAACGAACAGCAAATGAATACCGAAAAATTCGAATAAATCTAAATAGACACTAATGTCTAAATAAATTTATTACTTAAGGATTAAATAGACGACAATGGATAATTAATCTCAAAGGACTTATTCGAGCATAGAAAAATTAAATGTAATAAAATGCATAATTAAATGAAAAATGAGATGTCTATTTATAAATGACCGGGCACTACAAAAAGTTTGGGTGAAATAGTAGACTATAAAATGATACGTAAAAGCTATAAAATGTTACGTAAAAATTATAAAATGTTATTATAAACAATAGGTAATATAATATTGGCGCTACAGTTGTTTGTGCTACCTAAAGATCAAAGGTAATACTTTTTGTAGTTTTTTGTAACACTTATATGATACTTTTGCTAATTTTTAGTAACATTTATATTAAAAGTGTTACAATAATATGATACATAAACCAATGATATGATACATAAACCAATAATTATAAAGTATTACGGTAAATGTTGCTACTTATTACTTTATGTTGTAGTGTTAATGTTGTAGTGTTAGCTGCATGATGAGAAAGTGATCGGTGCTAAGTTCTAACATGCGCCGTGATTTGCGGGCAATGATGTAGTTGTAATGAACAAGATATTTTGCAAAAGTTAAAATCGTATTACTGTTGAGAAGGTCGATAACTGGGGTGAGTTATTTATATGAAAAAAAAAAATCTGTGGCAAAAAATAAAAAGAAAAAAAATATTGTGGACAATAGTAAAACACTCGGATTTTGAAAATTCGTTTTTCAAAAAAAAATATTTTATTAAAAAACGGATTTTCGTAATCCGTGTTTAATTTTATATTAAAAAAAAAAATTATTAAAAAACGGATTTTCGTAATCCGTTTTTATTTTTTTATTAAAAAAAATAAAAAAATAAAAAAANT